CCACTTGCAACGTGCAACATCTCGGATTGCAGCGTGTCATCGTTAAGAAAGTAAGCGGAGCAATCGTTGCTCCTCCCCCCAGTAGTTAAGGGTCTTTTTGTACCCATTCCTGAAATGGATATTACTTTTTAATTATAATTATTTATTATTATACTTTCTTTTTAAGAATTTTAATCAAAAATATTCATTAGAAACAACTCTCTATAAGAAATCTTCAAAAACATCCCCAATACCCTAAACAAAGAACCAAACTCCTGTCTAGTCTTGAAGTAAACACCCAAACTACACTCCTTTTTCCAGACTTTATTGAATCCCAAAAAAATATCGGTCCTTATTACAAGTTGCCAGAGCTCTTGAGTAAACCGCCTTGAAGAAAATCAATCAAAAACATTGTATGAAGAGACAAAATCCAGCAGACGCACCGGCATAACCGCAGGCTCTACTCGGGGGAACTTCCCGCGATAAGTCCTGCGAGTCCTTGGAGCATCAAAGAGGACGAGAAGGCAATAAAAAGCCATCCAAAAGATGGCGGGGGGGAAACGAATCAATACTCCTGAGGGGGGACCGACAACGACCGCAACTACTAGAGCCACATACTACATACTATACGCCCCAAAAAGCCCGCCGAGTCAAAGCGATTACACCGGAGCGGAGCACACAAACACCTTTTCATTTGTATCTATTAGATTAAAATTCATGTCGACGTACGCACTCTGCCGCTCACTCCGCAACACGCGCTTGGCTTGTCCGCGCTCGCAGATACAAAGATACATAGATACCACACACCGGAGGAGGAAAGTCTTGGCATCGAGAGCTCACAATCATCATTGGCCTGGCCTGTAACACTCATACACATACACAGTCAAGTACAACACAACCTGAGCTCTGCATCGAAAAGATACATGGCTTGAGAGTGGCGTGAGAGGGGAAACAGACGAGACGCATCCCAAAGATACAGATACGAAGCTCAGCGAAGCGAAGCGAAGCCACCGCTGCCATCAATACAAGCTGAACAACTACAAATACAACGAAAACACACAGATACTCGAACTTCTGCTGTTGCTGCCGATGTTACTGTTGCTGCTGCTGCTGCCCATGTTGCTGCTACTCTGGGGCAACAAGCAAAGTACAAAGGATACAAATATATCTCGTGTTCGAAATATAAAAATCGTTATACAAAGACTGACGTTGTTTCTGGATTTGGATCGACTGCGACTAACGACTGCGGTGCTACGAGGAGTTGTGGAGATGGCCTCCCAACCGCCCTCCTCCCCCGGGGCAGGAGGTGGGAACCGGTGGCTTTGGCATCATCTTGCCCTCCCTTTTTTGCTTGCGGCCATTTGGGGCAGCTTTACCGTGCACTGCCACTTTTTCTCTGACTCGCTCTCTCTCTGTTCCACTCGACCATCTTCCGTACTCTGTCGTTCTCTTTCTGGGCTCTTAGCGCCAGTAAGCGGAGTGTTCCCGCCTCGAAAAAGGTTGGTGGCCAATGCCCCACCCGCCCCTGGCAACCTCCTGGCTTTTCGCCCACCCCCCTTTTTCCGCCTCACCCCAGTTTTCCCTTCGGAGTTGCCAAGTTGCCGCTGCGGTTGCGAGACTTGTGTCGTCCTCCCGAACAGAAGGCGACGGCAATTTTGTAGGCGCGCCAATGGGTTAACGTGATCTGAATTTGTTGCTCGCGAGCCAATTAATGTCGCTCCGAATTAAAAAGAAGCCACTGATGGCAGATACAGATACGGATCGTAAAAGTAACTCAAACTGGGTTACCCCGGAAAATATGTACACATATCTGCTTATTTCTTATTTAATAAGAGCACAGCGGGCATAGAAAAAGACATATTTTAATTTTTAAACAATAATTTTTTACTAAAATACTTACAAAAATATTTAATTCACTTAATAAATAATTATTTTTAAAATCATACGTAAAATAAATACCTTTTTCGCCCTTTTCTTGGCAATTCTTAGATGTTTAAGTTTCAAAAACATGTTTTTCGAAAGTTATGTTTGAAAAAATGTGTAAAATACAAAAACCTATTTATTTAAAATTAGTTTTTGTACCAATTCAAGCATTTTTATGAACTTAAAATATATATTTTTAAATATTTGATAATATTTGATGTCTGAAAGATACAATAAAATAAATATTATTATATTTCTGTAATATACTGACCAAACTTATTGAAAAGTATAAATCCAATTTTGAATTATATAATTTTTTAAATATTAAAAAATACAAATTTTTAGTTAATAAATTTATATTTCTAAAATATCAGTTGATAATATAACTATATCTTAAAGTACATTTTTCTTAAAAACCCATAATCCAACTACCATCATTAGTATCACTAAAAACTTTACAAAGTCTTCAAAAAAAAGGGGAAAAAAATAAAGACGTTAAAGGTTACTTTATTTACTCAACAAAAAAAAAATTGATTCCGGACAACTTACATAGCATGGTTAGTAAAACTATTATTTTTGGCACTGCCAGACCATTAATTTTCATGAAAACCGACAGACCATCTTTGGCGAAAAGCAAACACTTAATAAATGACTATCGAGCAGCGAATCGTTAATGTCGGGCAATGGCGGAAAGGATAAAGCTGCAGTAACTTCATTTAAATGTTGTAAGAATTTGTTTACTGCGTGTGCGACACAGAGCTCAGTGGTGGGTGGGTGGGTTGGTTGGGTGGTGTAAGGGGTGTGGGGAGAGCAGGAGAGCAATCCTCCTGCTAAAGGACGATGAGGTGGATACACCGATTGCCAGGAACAACAAAGTAGCTTTAGAATGTACTTAGTACACATACAGATACATATGTATCACATAAACGCCACACAGTGGCGCTGCCTCACTCTAGCAGCTGCCGTCACTCCTCTCGAGTGGCGTTTCAATTAATTAGAAAAAGTTAAAGAAACGCCACGGCAAGAGGCAACAAAAAAAAATATACAAAAAGGAAAAAACAAATACCTACATAATAAAATGTAAGAGCGTATGTTGTAGTAGCAGCAACATCAGCAGCAGCAACAGCAGCAGAAGCGACGGCAGCAACACAGCAGCTGCGGTGGCGTTTTGGTGGAGCAGCGCGAAAGATGCCACCAATCCAGCCAAAGCGGTCAGTTGGGGAAAGCCGGGGGTGTGGGCTAAATGGGTGTGGGGGAGGGGGATGGCGGTTTCGACGGATGGATGATAAAACATTACCCAGCGTTGGCCCAACCTCTCTTTTCACTTCACGAGTTTCGTTCATGTTCATCAGGCTTTTCTTTCTTTTTTTTTTTTCAACGCCGAGGCAGCAGCGTAAACACTTTGCGACGTTCATGCTACTCCTGTTGTTGTTTTTGTTGTTGTTGTGTTGTTTATGGCAACAACTACACGTAGCAACACCCACGGCAGCCACAGTAGAAGTAGCAGGCCGCAGAAAAAGCAGCACCAGCAGCAGCAGCAACGTAGCAGCAGCAGCAGCAGCAACAACAGCAAGTAGCAGCATTGCAACAGCAGAAGCAGCAGCAGCAGCAGCAACAACAGTGCCTACAAATACATACATCGGCATTTACAACAACACGCAATAACAGCCATTTTTCTAGTTGTTAAGTTAATTTTTTCATGTTCTGCTGCTCGGAGTTGCCGTTGCCGTTGTCGTTGCTGCTGCTCCATAGATTGCTCCCATCTCGCTTGCACACGAGGCAACAGACCAGGGCAGCCAACGCCAGCAAACGGGTAATGTTGCCGCTGCCGCCTCGGCCACGAATCGCATTCACCGGCAAATGTTGTCGTCCCGTTCTGGCCCGCCACCAAACTGCCAGATACTTTATTTATGGTCACAGTGCTCAGATACTTTTTTTTTTTGGTGTGTGCTCTGACATTGCTGCTGCTGCTAGAGCTTTGCTCTGTTGCTGCTGCTGGTGGTGCTGGCCTCTACCTCACTCCCATGACGCAACCGGTTCTCGTGCCACACCGTCTCGCTCGCACTCGCAACACCACAGTGCCACACACAGCCCCAGCGCCAGCCCACTTATAATGATAATCATTATTGCCGTTGTTCGTTTCTCTGGTCGTGCTCCTCGTCGTCCGCCTCGTTTGCTACTTTTTGTTTTTCCACCTCTCAGATACATTTACAGATACACAGATACAGATACATCGACAAGCAGGGCAAATACGGCCAGACACAGATACGCACCACCACCACCACCACCATTGCGGCGACGAAGAGAACGCACCAACACCATCGTGGCGAGAGTAAAAATAAGGGGCGAAAACCCGTTTGGCTCTCTCGCTCTCACGCACACCACCAACCGTTCGTATCTGTGTGGCGGCGTATCTATGTATCTGTGTGTGCCGTATGCTCGTTCCGTGGTTGTTGTTGCTGCTTGGCGCTGTTTTCGATTGTCGGTTGTCGTGTAATTCCCATTTGTCGTACACTTTGTAGTTGCTCAAGAAACTCATGTTAGTCTACTTTTGACTGTTACGCAGATTGTTCGTATCGTTCGTGTGTCCGCTTGAGCCGCAACGCCGCACTGTGGAATTGGAATTGGGATTGGGATTGGTATTGGGATTGTGCCCGTGTTCTCTGCCCGCCGTCACCGTCACCGACACCGTCGCCGTCGCAGTCGTCGCTGCAGATTCCCAGATTCAGAATCAGATTCAGATACATCCGCACAGCCGCACAGGCACACAGATTTTTCAATTTTTCGATTCCGATTCCGATTCATTCGTGCTCGAGTCGGTACGAGAACGCCTTCGTTCGAGAACGTTTGCCTTTTTTTGGGGCATCGCCATTGCACATCCTCCGGATAGCTCTCCCATCTATCCTGTAACTCTCCGGTTGTGTTACGTTTCTCGATCGCCCCTCGTCGCGAATGCCTCGTAGTGCTGGCGATCATCTGGGCCACGTTCCTTAGCCGTCGGCAAGTGCAAGTTTTGAAAAATACAAAAAAAATAAATATGAATTAAAACACACTTACACTCGAAACTCTGCGTTCAAAAAAAAAACATAACTAAAACATAGTGCTAACTAAAGATTTGGATTCAACTTATAACTACTACAACGGATCACTTTCGGATTATTTGATTGTGCGCGAGTTTCCAAAACAAACAACATCAACAACAAACACCTCCGGAATCATCACCTCCTCCAGCTCCACCTCCAGCAACACCATCTCCATCGTCATCTCACCCACTGTGTCACTCTGTCGATCGGATCGTTACTTTAAGATTTGCTTTATAGTTTTAGTTAAAAGCAAAAATTAATATTAAATGACAGTGCACAGTAATGAAACCGGTATCAGTTTAGTAATGGTGCGTATTTCAATTTGTTTCTAATCGTACTCATCGCTTTCAAATATTTATGAGTTGTAAAACGTGAAAAACACGGATTGTATCTGATGTTAATGACTGAGTTTAGCCCGATTGGCATTCGCCCGCGGATAGTTACAATTAGATAGCACTCTCGGTTATTTTCGTTTATGCAAACTGGGCTAACTCGTTTTGCAGTGCACTTGTTGATCGAGTCTCGAAATCGACATTAAGATCATCAGAAATAAATCAGTGCAATTATACGAGTATACGAGTACACGTTTTTCCCTCCCCAGATGCCCAGACAAGTAGAAACACACAGAACCGTGTGGGGATTAGTCTTTGGGGCTCGCGATTCGCAGTTCGAATGCCTTAACAATCTGATTTGGCAAACGGAAGACATGGAGTTAAAAATAAACCAAAGAGAAGATGTTCGGTTCGATGGGTTGTCTGCTTTGAAAATGTCAGGACCACAGTTGCTACATCTATTCGAAAATTGCGGCTGCCAATTCGCCAAAAATCCCATTGGGCAATGTCTTTTGGTTGTTAACTAAGCACAGCAAGGTCATTGTAATCGTATGGTATTCCTTGCCGACTCTATCCTGGTATTTGAGAACCCCGATACAAGTTTTCATTATGCTTGTATGGTGGTGTAGGGTCCCTTATTGGAAATTTGATCCATTGCCTCTTTAACCCAAATGTAATCAATTCAAAGTCACTCAACACATGAAAGCATATACACTCTTGACTTGGGTATTCTAGATATAAACAATCTCCAAACTTTCCGAGGGGAAGAGCTAAAATAAACAAGCGATAATATTGGGGAGTTCTATAGAATATAGAGAGTTTCAATTCAAGGAATTCAGATTTTTTCAAACTTATTCTAACTATAACCACCGAGTAATGGAACTTAAGAACTTAATAGGAGAATAGAGTTTAAATTTATTTTACTTCAACATTTTGGAATGTATGTATGTATATCCCCTGATGAAATTAATGATGAACAACAAATCTCTTTGATTTAATTTTATATTACTTGGAAATTATTTCAAAATTATAATCTCAAAACAAAGAACCATTAAGCCCGGACCAGTAACCTCAGAGGTTCACTATAACCCAATAATTATTCTGGGAAATTTTCGTTTTTATTCTAGCATTCTAGTGATCTGATTCATGTTATACAACATGATTCTTTTTTACCAAATATATATAGAGCTATTGGAGCGTACGAGAGTAAATATGTACTTAGTAGGACCCTAGTCGGTGAGATAGCCGGATAATCATCGGCGGCTGATTCAAAGAGCCGACTGATAAGCCGGAACCGAAGTAGCAGTAGATCCATCCATCCAGGCAACACCGGGAATTAATTTTTAATCGCATAGGGCCACTTGAGTTGTCACTTGATGAAAGCACGAGACGAAGGCCCCGAACATCAATACTTTTTCAGGAGGGGGGCATTGGGGGATATGCAACAACATAGGCGGCAGCAGCAACGGCGGCGGCGGTATCAATCACGACGACCAATACGTACATGTTGCAGCTCTGTGACCGGCGGCCTGCGATAAAAATCGTATCTTACGCCTCGGATCATTTGTAAAATGTTAAACGGGAAGAGCAACGAGGAGAAAAAACAACAAAAAAAGTGAAAAACCAAAAAAAAATAAAAAAAAAAAAGAAGTTAAAGTTAACACGGGCAACCAAAGAGGCAGCGCGATAAACAAACCTGAAACTTGTTTGTAGAGACATGTCGCGTATATGCGAATGTGTACGTTGCTCTTGTGCCCTCCTGTTGTTGCTGTTGCACTGTTGCAGTTGTTGCTGTTGCAGTTGGCTGACTAAAAGTGTTGACAAAAGTGCGCGATAGGCTTATGCACACAAACATACACCGCATATATATGTGTATATAGTCAAGAGCTCCGATCCAGGCAGTCATTGGACAACTTACAATCAAATTGCTCTTAGGCCGTTGCCGTTGTCGATGTTGCAGTTGTTACTGTTGTTGCTGTTGTTGCTGTTGCCGCTGTCGTCGTTGGCAGCAATCGGCTGTGTAATTTAAATCAATGTTGTCAATCGAAAACATGATTTGTTGGTAATGGCGGCCCCACTTTGAAGATAGAAAAAAAAGGGGATAGGAGCCGGAGGCGTCTCTGGTTGGGGAGTTTCATTTTATTGACTGAGACAGCAGAAGGTTTCGGGTTCGGGTTGGGATCGGTATTGGAATTGGAATCGGAATCGGGGAATCGGAATCCCAACTTGAAGGGCCCACAGCCCACGGCTCTACCCTGGTGAAGAGTCGCGCTTATCGCGCTGATAAGGGGGCAACGTTTTTAATTAAGTTTTAGTGCCAGTTGGTAGCTCGGTACAGTAGACCATCTATTGAGTATTTTTCTGTCCCATCCCATCCCATACCTTTTCATTTTTTTTTTATATATATTTTTTATCCATCCAACTGAAGAAGCAGCGCTTTAATGGCCCGCCATAAACTTAAGAAATGGATCGGAAAAGACCACAAAGTAAAATATTTGTGCATCGTTTTTAAATTAGTTTCGTTTTTATACTTTTTGGTAAACAATGCTTATTAATGTTTATGGTGTTTGTTATGTTTTGTTGAGGGAGTTGATTTCTTAACACAAACATAAATCAATAAACTTTATAAACCAGAAAAGCAGGACTTTTTATAAGCCACAAAAAAAGGATAATTGGGGCTCTTAGTTTTAATTACTCTGAGGTTCTTTCTTTAGAAATAAACCAACCTTCTTTCATTCCTCTTTTTAGAATGCCGTTTCAACTCACCTTGCCACCTCGTCGCCCAACACGCCTCCAATCAACGCTCCACAGAGTCCGCCCTCGACGCTGCCCACGCTCGCCTGCCCCGCCGCCCAGCCACTCAGTGCCCCCGGTATCGGTGTCGGTCTAGGAGGCGTCTCCGGACCCGGACACAGCGGCATTAGCATGGTTACATCGACAGTGCCGCCGGGTGCTCGCTCCACATCGCCGTGCGGCCCGGTTGCCGGTCTTCCCGCCGGACTTCCAGTTGTCGGGGCTCCGCCTCCGGGTCCACACTCCTCCGCCCCGGGAGCGGCGCCGGCGCCCGGCTCGGGAAATCCCCCGCCCAACCGCTGCTGTGATACGGGTCGCACCATCTACACGGATCCGGTCAGCGGCCAGACGATCTGCTCCTGCCAGTATGACATGCTCAGCTACCAGCGACTAGCGGCCGCCGGAGGCGTACCGCTCGGCGTCTATCCGGAGGGCATGTCCGCCTACCTCTCCGGCATTGCAGCGGATCAGCCGCCGTTCTACGCCAATCCGGTAAGTTTCTAAAAAAATATTTTTAGCAATTTTAATCTCAGTATACACAGTGGAGAAGATATAGCTATAATTGTTCTAAAAATCCCCCTCAAAAAACTTTATAAAATGAAATCAAATTCCTTAAATACAAATACTTCTTAAAACAAGGGTGGACTTTAAAAAAAAGTTCTCAGCAAATACAAATTTTCCAAAATAGATTGCTATCTCTTAGATTCTCTTAAGGATATTATTTTCCTCAGTGTACCAAAAAGCCTGTTCATAAGTCATATGTCCCAAACAATGGCGCAATAAATTTGTGAATTTGTCCAGCCACGGACCGGGAGACCACCTTGGAAGTCAGATTCAGATTCAGAGTCCCAGTAAGAGTCAGAGTCTGAGTCGCATCGTCATTTGATCGTGTCCCCTTGGCCCTTGGAGTCTATGCTTCCGAACTTGTGCCACGGAGCCTACAGCAGAGCCTCGCTTGAAGCGATTTGTCAGGCCTGTGGGGCCACGCGGGTCCCACTGGCTGCGGTACTTAGGGCTTTAAGCCTATGCCTGACCTTTCGCTTGTCGGTGCACCTTTTGGCGATTTTTCAAGCCACATTGTTGCGAAATATTATTGCGACTTAAGACTCGATGTGCCAGGGCTAAAGCCAGAGTCAGAGCCAGAAACTGATTGTGAGGTTCACCTCCTGTCCGAATTTGTGGACACAATGGACCACGGCACGTCTTGCTCACCACATGTCCGGCGCTTCGCCGTCGGCCCTTTGTTCACCGGCATTGCTCTTCTAATAGCATCATGTAATTTGCCTTTGTTTGCCAACAATTCTATTCTGGCTACAATGTACTGGGAGACCACATGCGGAGCCCAGGAACTGGAAACTGGACCCGGGACCAGGGATCCTACACCCAGGACACCCAGTGTTACTGGCATGTGTTGTCAGTTGTTACAGTTCTGGTGAACATTTTGGTTTCCAGTCAATCGAATTCAAGTTGTAAATATTTTAGGAAATTTCTGTTGACTTTGACAGATGCAATTTAATGGCTATCTTGTGTCTAATTGTTTTTTTAAACTCTGGAAATTCTTAATTGCTTTGTCTCGGAATTGTTAGAGCCCTAATAATATGTTTGAATTAATCGGCAAATCGTTTGGTAGGCATTTCTGTTTCTTCTCGGTCCGCGGGCCCCAAATACAAACAGCGCCCATTAAATATGATCCGATAAAATGTCGCATTCAAAAGTGAACACATTAATTTATTTGCTTACAAGCCAAAAAGAAAAAAGTCTTTTAAAAGCTGACGATGACGGCACCACCGGCCACCAGCCCTCTCCGGGCTCCCAAAGAAACAGAAGCATAAACTCGAAACGAGCTGACGACTGTGAAATTGAAACTGAGAGTTTAATGAATGGCCCGTTGAGTATTTAGAATGGTGGCTACTGAAGATCAAGCAAAATTAAAAATCGCCATCCGAAAAGTGTGTGTCTGTGCTACAAACACTCTCCGATTGAAAAGAAATCCAATTTTTTGTTCTTTGAATTTTTATAAAACTTATAAGTAAGCTTATAATCGCCGTAAAGTGATTTAAGCTCAATCGATGTCCACCAATGGTGTTTCGACTAATCAAACATATACCTAATAAAATATTTCAAATGCTAATTTGCATATGAACTGGTTTAGTTTGAGATGAACACGAAAAAAAAAAAATGTGTAATAAAATTAGAAAAACCGGTCGTATACCAGTAGCTGTGATGTCGTATAAATTTAGTCATTGTCTTGCCCAAAAATTAACACAAAAAATTACAAAAAAAAAGAAGTCTCAAACAAAAAATAGCCGCATCGGAAGGCATCGATCAGTGATCCCAGTCGAGATCGAAGCACTCACTATCTCTGTGCTGACACAGCAGTTTAATAGGAAAACAATTTGATGGAAGTGTCATGTGGCACACACACGCGGCACTTGAGATTCTATGATCCGATCCAAAGAGGATTTACACGTAGCGTTTAAAAGACCAAACAGGTCGTGGGTCGCGGGCCGTGGCATCTGCTAAATAAATCATCTGGGGTCGTAATTAGTCACTTCAGTTCGTACCGCCGGCGCTAAACTGAAGCGATTCCTCTTTAAGGCACTGAGTTATATATACATCTCCTAGATATATTGCCGTAGTATAGTTGTAAAAGTGTCTGCTCAATGCGGTGGATTCATTACTTTGACACGAGCTGTCAAGCGGCTGTCAGTTTGCCGCATCGCGGGAATATATTTCCCATTCCCCATTACCATTTCTCATTCCAATTTTTACCCAAAAACTCCAAATGTGACTCCGGCTCTAAGGTGGATGATGATGATGAGAATGTCCCGGACTGGCCTGGTGTGGCATGGCCCGGTGGTGCAACCGCCGCCGCACAGAGGCATCGCTGTCATTTCAAATGGCAAGATACATTTGAAGAGCACCGCCCGCTAACAAATAGGCCGGGCCCAGGCCGCGCCCGGTGTTTTTCATCCGTTTTTCCATCTCGTTGTTGTTGGTAGTGGTGTTACTGTGCCTTTGGGGGCGTCGACTTGCCTCGCCGCCTCGTACCTTATTAATAAATTTGTCAACACGCAAGTGACAGGCTGTCATTCTGTCCGCCCTCCAAGAGTCCCGTTCCCATTCCCACTCCCATTTCCCAGGCCGCTCCATTCATCCGTTCATCTACTTATCCGTAGAAGTCCAAAATTGACTGCGTCCTCGACGCATATGTTGCATCCTGCACACTCACTGACACTCGGATAGATTAATTTTGTTAATTGTTCAACGACGCCCTTAATTTAAAAGGGATCACTTATCATTCACAAAACAAGGAAAATGTTTTAATTGTTAACTCGATAAGGATCAACATTTAGGATATCTAGTTTAAAGAATAGAATTTTACAGAACTCTAAAGTTTCTCAAAAAACCTCTATAATAAAGTCTTTGCTCATTTGAGTGGCCCAAGAGTCCTTCCTTTGTGGGGGGGAATGGGTGTTTTTAGGCACTTGACGCTTTTGGGCCAGTAGCCAAAATGGTATATTGACTTTTCCCCAGTTTAAGTGCCGCAACATCATCAACGACAACAATGCAAGCATGAAATTTCACACTCGACAACATAGTCGCTATGGGTTTTGCTGCCGAACAGCAACAAAGGACTCGAAATGTGCGGTGTATACGCTTTCTCCATATCCTGTGGGAGCTACAAAAACTTTTGCCGCTGGCAAGTTTTCTACAAAATGTAGCAGAAAGCAACTACAAATCGGGGCCCATACACACTACCTACTATGTGTGTGTGTATATAGTAGCTATACCTCCCCCTCTATTTGGACTGAAAACAACCCCTCAGATTCAGGGGAATACAGACTCCCGACTGCCCCGAATCCCGGGCACATCCTGGCCTGGCCTCCTTGGAACTCCTTGCTACATGCACTGATTTGTCAACTTTCAAAATGTCGAAGTGTTGTCGTGTTGTTCTCGGGGGTTGCTGGCTCTAATGGTAAGGTGTCGGCGGGTCGATGGGTGGAGTGGGTGGCCTTAGTGGGTGGTGTCATGCCTTGGCCTGGGCAAAGTACTAAATACATTTACTGCTAGCACCAATCTCATTGTTGTTGCCGTAAGTGTTGTGGAAAGTTTTTGTGTTGCTGCCGTTGTTGTTTGGCTTTTTGGCAAAGTTGAAAATGTTCGTTAACAGTAAATTTTGCACTCTTATACCCACACACACACCACACACAAAAAGGCAAAAAGGAAGTGTGCCGGAGTGTGGGTCTGAAAGCCTGAATGGGGCTGCCCTGGCTGCCTACAACAAACAAATTAGCAGTCATGGCAACGCATACGAACAACGTACAAACAAACAGGCAACACGACCAGCAGCAACATCACCAGCAACCTCAGAGCCGTACAACTTTATAAGCAAGTTGTGAAAAAAAGTGTCATCGGGCTGTGAGCTCCAGATTTTGTATTGTATATTTTGTATATAATTGATAGATTTTGTCAAAGTGTAGATTAACTTGCCTAGGACATGGCACATTCTTTGGCGCAACTTAAACTCCACGCTGTCGTCAATTTCAATTTCAATTTCGATTTCGATTCCGACTTCAATTCCAAATACTCGTACGAATCCGATTCCATTCATTCTTCGCTGTACAGGCGGGAATGCGGCGGGCAAACGTGCGTTTATTTTTAAATCGAAGCAGCAATTAATTAACTCGACCCGTCATTACGCGCATCGCTCAAATCGTGGCGCATCAAGGCGACAGACCACAGGAGCCGGAGCCGTATCCGTACCCGTAGCCCCTCTTTATCCGCCATCGGGGCCCATTGACGTTTTGGCGTGAAGGGTACACAGTCGCAGAATTTCCTTAGTAATGAAGACAAAAGTCCCAGTCCCCAGACCCCGGTCTCTGGTCTCCATTCTCATTCCCATTTTAATTTGAATTATTTAATTTGCCCGCAAAGGAAGACGATGGCCTGATGAGCAAATAAGTAAATGGCAAACCGCACTTTCCGATGCGTGAAACGACGCACTCCGGTCAGTTGTCGGATCAGACATCTCCTAACCACTTGAGATGCTTGTGGCAAGTAGCTACCACTGGCCGGTGGTCACTCATTTATGTGCTTCCGTGGGCGGGGAAAGTATCTCAAGCTTATCCCTCAAAAAAACCAACATAGACCTTGTCAAATATTTAATTTTTATTGCCTTTAAGATTAATGGAATACTTATTATGAATTGGATTTAGCTTTAAATTTATTACTCGAAGAATACACTTATCGGTTAAACAAATCTGTTCATTAGGTTTTCAGTTGTATGATTTATGAGGGAATCACGTCACCGTTGTATGGTTTCACGGGAAGACCGCAAGTGTTTTCCTTGTGTCTTGGAGAACTTTGAAATACAGAGTTCACCGAGGGGGGTCACATTTAATTTAATACTTAAATCGTAGAAACAAGCCTTTGTGACAAAACTACATACAAACATTTGGCAAATGCATTGGCATAGCTGGCGAGGAACAAGCCATCTATCGCCACTATACGATCTGCGTTACAACGCTTTTACAATTGCCGTTGTCGTCGCCGATGGTAATGCAATATTTAACTTCAAAACTAGTTGCATCTGTGCGGTGGCTCTGGCTGTTGCTGCCGTTGATGTTGCTGCTATAAGTGCTGCAACTGTTGCTGTTGCAGTATTGGTAATAATAAACGCAGACGCAAACATGTCGAATGTTGTTAATATTAACCACCGCCAGCGCAAATCCCGTGAGTTGAATCGATTCGAGCGTGAGGTGCTGCCGTTCAAATAGTTGCCTGCTACTGTTGCATCCTCTCGGAAAGAGATACTTTTGCTGGTAGCCGGCTGGCAACAATTTATTATATGCGCTTTACCCGCATGAACATGGCCTCTACACGCACTCCGAAAGCTGCCAAACACGCACGACACAGATTTTGTTTTATTTTTCTTTTTTTTTTTGGCGGATCGGATCGGGATCCGGGATCCGGGCTAACTTGGGCAATCTGGGCAATCTGGGCAACCTGGGCAACTTGAATCCTCCTCCTCGACTTTTGGCCAATTCCTGTGTGATAGCCGGGCGTGATTATTGTAAAGGTTGTAAAATGTAAACCGGTTTCGATCCCTCGATTCCGAGGCTCCATTGAGAAATAGGAGCGGGCTGTGTAATTTAATATAGTCTGTCCCGAAAACGCTGTCCATGTTCGGCTAACTGACTTCTGCAAACGTCCAGGGGTCGGCAAAGTCTCTTTCTGCCACTGAAAGAAAAGTTTCTGAAAATTGTGATCCATTATTTCTTTCATTTTATGAAACTATGTAACTGGGAGTTTTTAAAAGTGCAGGACCTGTCAAAGGGCCTTGGCCCTGGAGTTGGCCCGGTCGAAAAGATCTGTGGCTGTTGCTTTTGCTGTTTATCAGTCTATCGCCGCTGTACTCGCACTCACCACATGCTGCGCAAACGAGTCTCCGGAGAAGGAGGAGGAACCTTTTTGGCCAGACTGCGATTGCAACTTCAACTCCTACTCCGCCAGCAAGTCAATGGTCGATGGTCGGCGATAGCGATGTTGCAACATCAACAGCCAAAGCAAGAGCAACATTTTCGTGTTGGCGACATAAAAATATTTCCGCTTTGCCAGACACTCGTCGCGCCAACCAGACAATAGATTCTGGGATTCTGGGACCTGCATTCGGGTATCCGTATCCTGTCGTTGTCCTGCGGTGCCTTGTAGATCCCTATCTGGCTGGTTCTTATTGATTTGGCATCTTGTTTTTGTACCCCCGCTGCTTAGTCATAACTGCAGAGGTGAACTACTTGCCCAGATGATGGCTTTAGTTAGTGTTTTAGTTAGTTTATGTGTCTTATATACATATGTATGTTTGTACATATATCGTAGCTGTCGTACAGCTGCTGCTGTCGATCGGTCCGCCATTATCGCTTCAACAGCTGGCAAATGTCGCATTGAATTGCGACAAGACAAAAGTAGATAATTGTCGTGTTAAACTTAATCGGAGCTCTATATATATACATATATATACATTACATGGCAGTCCCACGCCTATCAGTGCCAAAGTCTGTGTTCCTAAATGTTTTCTGTGATTTCTATCAACTGTCTAATGACAGTACTGGCTGTCATGTCACCATAAAGCTACATAGTACTTTGCGATTAAAAAGACAACCTCGGAAAACTCCCCGAATATATAGAACAATGCAAAGGCGATCGCAGCTCTAAAGTCACTGTCAGAGTGTCACGACTTGGTCACATGTTAGACTGATGCTGGCTTATCACGGAGCTTCAAGACAGTGGATCGAAAATCTGTTTAAAATATTCCATAATATTATTTTTAATTTTTATTCTTGGAATTAAAAATATATTTTAAACAGAAGCCCACTGTGCTGATAACAATGTGACATCTCAAGCCATCCATCGGCACAAATATGTTGTTTAAATGATTTGTTTAACATGATTTTTTATAATTTTGGTTCAAGGTCTGGCCCATTGCCCCTTGAGGTTAAGCCTAAAAAAAAATTCGTCTGGAGATTTGTCTAAAAATAAATAATTAATATTCTTTTACTGTCTCGTTTCAGGCTGGCATCGATTTGAAGGAGAATCTGGTGGCCGGAGCAACACCCTGGCCATATCCATCGATGTATCATCCGTACGATGCGGCCTTCGCCGGCTATCCGTTCAACAGGTGAGAGGCTTAGTCATCTAGCATATAGTGTAGTATCTGTATCTGAATCCGACAGATACTTCCCCCAACCATTCCAATAAACCAAACTCAGATGGTGGTCCGCTGAAAGGCGTCGATCGAACGTGAGTTGCAAGCAATTTTCGATCAAGAATGGACATTCAATGTTGAGTGTTGAGTATTGAGGTTCTCCAGGCAGGCTGGCTGGTTGGCTGGCTGGAAGGCAGGTGCGTGCAGGTGCATTCAAATGCCGTTTTCGGAAAAGTGCGTTCGAATAGTAAAAGTCTGGCATATTGGCACGCAGGCGCAGTGGCATTCGAAACTCGAATTTCCCCTGCATTCACATCGGCAATTCATGGGCTTGTAATTGATCGTATGCACGTCGGCGGTGGCCGCTTCCGCCGATCGAAACGCACCTAAAAATTACAGAAACAGAAACTGCATTCGGTAGCCGAAGTGACATAAATTTCCAAACACAATTGCCGGTTAAACAATCGACAACATCCCGTCACGTCAACTCACGTTCGGACAGGTACAACGCTATGCCCATTGTTTTCACTGTAATTGACACTCATAACAAAATTTGATAGTTGACTCATGCATTGGCTACTGTTTTCTGTTTATTGTTTGATGGTTGTTGTTTCTTATATTTGTTGTCTATCAACCATATTCGCCATAAATCAATTTTAAGTTATTTCGCGATGACGTGCCGCAAGCTGCTGGCAAAGCTGGCCGTTAAGCTGGCGAATTCAATTCAAAATTCAGGAGGAATATTCGCGCGAAATGCCACTACTGGGCCCCACCTTCAAATACTTTAAAACAATTTAAGCAGCGGTGGGGGCGTTGTTGTCGTCACCAATCATTTACAGTGAGCTGATAGGAAAATTAAAAAAATATATTCAGCTGTCAGGTGATCAAAGGCAGAGTGCCTGTCTGCGCAGGTGTTTCGCACTCGGCGACACTTTGCATTCGAAACTCAAATTAATTAATGCAGCGTACGCCGCGTCCGACCGCGAAAAGAGCAACCGCATCCATAGGCACACATCCACATCCCCCACATATATGTATGTATATTTACATACATATATCTTCATCCGAAAGGCATTATATTCCTCTATAGCATCCAGTTGACATCGTTGTCATCATCCTCTCGGTCCGGATCGGGCAGCTGTCTGAAAACTACAAATGAGACAGCTACACATGTATGCGATTTCTCTCCCCCGACGGTGTTTTGCATTCTCTACAGAGTAAAAAATATAAATTATAAAAAATAATGGGCTAACTTTTAACTCTGGAGATAGCATAAAGCTCTCTTTTTCTCTCAGTGTATATAATTATTTCGGTATATATGTATATCCCTATATTCAACCCGATGTATATATGGCAATATACTAAAAACGTTCATGTTAACTGCCCACAAAAAGCGATAAAGGACAGTTGTTGTCCACGCAGTGGCATGCAGCGACATTCGGGCATCGACCATCGATGGGGAAATGCATTCAAAAAGCGGCGATAGGAGTGGGGATACCGGGAAGGATAGAGTGATTCAGGGACATACATATGGGGGGGACGAGAGGCCATGTGTCAGACCGCAAACTGCAGAGGCATAAATGCCGGTGACCGGCCCAGGGGAGGTAGCATGCAAATGCGTTTATGATGAACAAATTTAACGCAGAACAAAGCCAAACCCGCCCACTACAGAGCGGTTTAACAAATTGTTGCAACAATTGTTTGTTGGCTGCAACAAAACATTCCCGGCCCTGGGCCCCGGGTCGGTGGCGCATATTTAAAGAAGTTGAGCGGCAGAACGACCTGGCAACAGCTGGGGCATGCATTCCATTTTGGCCTTAATCACCTGCCGGCAGTTCACGGAATGGGCAATGGTCGTCCGTCGTTGTCGGTTGCCGGTGGCCGGTTGCCGGTGGCCGGTTGCCGGTTCAGGGTTTCAAAGTTTCCTCCTCATCGTGCCAAATGATGTCCACACCAAGCTCTAACCGTTTTTAATTTGAAAATTTCTTTTAGCTACGGCATGGATCTGAACGGAGCCAGGAGAAAGAACGCCACCCGCGAGACCACGTCCACACTGAAGGCCTGGCTGAATGAGCACAAGAAGAACCCCTACCCCACCAAGGGCGAGAAAATAATGCTGGCCATTATCACCAAGATGACGCTGACGCAGGTGTCCACGTGGTTCGCCAATGCGAGAAGAAGACTGAAAAAGGAGAACAAGATGACCTGGGAGCCAAGGAACCGGGTCGACGACGATGATGCCAACATCGACGACGACGACGACAAGAACACGGAGGACAATGATCTGCTAGGTAAGCTTAAAAATTATATTGCTTATATTCTAAGAACTAACTAATCCTGTAATCCTGAGTAACCTTTTCAAGAAAACACTCCCATCCAATGTACCAATATTTAATTGCAAATTCCGATGTCTCTCTTCTTACAGATGCCAAGGATTCGGGTGTGGGCTCCACGGACGACAAGGACCGTTCGGGACGCCTGGGTGACATGCTGGCGGATCGGCCGGGAGAGAGCAACAACAGCGAATGGTCCGAATCGCGGCCCGGATCTCCCAATGGATCTCCCGATCTGTACGACAGACCCGGCAGCATGCCGCCGGGCGCCCATCCGCTCTTCCACCCCGCCGCACTGCACCACCACTTCCGACCGCCGGCCGGCTCGCCGCCAGACATCGCCGCCTATCACCACCACCAGCAACAGTTGCTGCAACAGCACCAGCAGGCGCAGCAGAACTCGCTGCAGACGGCGGTGGGCGGAACGGCGAAGCCCCGCATCTGGTCCCTGGCCGATATGGCCTCCAAGGACAGCAAGGATTCTAGTTCGGGGGCCAGCAAGGAGAGCCTAGCCGCAGAGCTGCCACCCACGCATCCCGGATTCTATGGACATCCCGGCCAGCAGCCGTCACCGGGCAAGATCCTGTCGCCTTTGGCCGCCAGAATACCCAATTATGCTCCCTATGTGCGCCCGGACTTGTACCGTGGATTCTATGGCCCAGCTGCTGCGCATCTGAGTGCACCGACGCAGGAGTTTCTGGAGCACCAGAGGACCTTCGGCGCCAGTCTGGCGGCCCACAACGGACCGCTCGGAATGAATCCGCTCTTGTGGAAAGCGGCTGTGTCCGGAGCGGCCAATGGCCCTCACTTTGCCCCCCTGAGCTTGACGACAACGGGCAGTGGCGGACCCGGCGGTGTGGCACCGCCTGGTCAGGTGGCCCCGCCCCCAGTGGCCTCGCCCTCCGCCTCCAGCTCATCCTCGTCCATGGGCTGCGACGTGGTGCACATACCAACCACGAGCGGCCAGTCAGCGGCCCAGCACATGATGGGCCCAATCTCCAGCAACTCCACCGCCTCCTCGTCCAGCTCCCACTCCGGCAAAATCTCGCCCGGGGTGAATGTGACCTCGCTGAGTGCAAAGCCATGACATCCATCGGCTTCCCCGGACCCGACGGACCAGGCTGATTCAATGGCGGCCGCCGCAGCTGCCGCCAACTCCCCTATTTCCGCCTTCCGTTCGCTGATCGCCTTCCGGGAGCAGCAGAAGCTGACGCTCCTGCGGCCATAGTCACTGAATCCAATCCGATTTTGGTTCCGATTCCCGGGCTTGAAAGGTATATATTTACACTTTCGGACAATAATTTACAATGTGATTATTCGGTATTTTGATTAACGCCGCTTATACCAAATAGCAAGCAAAAAAAAATTAAACCCGCTGAAACGCAGCGGTTCCTTTGACACGGGTCCCTTCCACTCAAAAAAAAAAAAAAAACAAATAAATACAGAGAAAAAAAAAACAAAAAATACAAGGAAATATATATACATGCATAAACGTATATAGAGAAAAATCGAAAAAGTGTCGAAAATGAAAAATCGAAAACCCAAACCGCTGCCCCAGACGTTGTGCAATTTTGTGGAGAAGATAATCCAAAAACCATTTGAAGATACGTTAATTTAATTACATACAACTTATGCAATCAGAGCTTATAGGATGTAAATTGGAAAGATATAGCAGGGGCGACATCAATGAATAACAAATAACATACTATCCGACTATCCGACCACAAAAAAAAAAAAAACTACAAACGGCAAAACCATAACATCCGCTAAATAATAGAAGCACAATTCTTTAACAGCATTGCGAACAACTTATATAGTTCACTAATTACCCATTATTTTCCTATAAGTTTTGTGTCATTTTCCAACATAATATTCAGTTAGCGGTCACCGTTAATCATAGCCCTAAGCAAGGACCCTTAAACATATCAATTCAAGTTTGTAACCCCCTTATATAGACATCCTTCCGCAGAATGCCCCAAAACCCAAGCCAAATGTACACGAGCAATCATTGATTTAGCTGTTATTGTTTTTATCGTCTTAAGTTATCAATTTGTTCCTGTCGTTTATAAATTTAATTTATTTTACATTGTGTGTATCATAATTTGGAGTGTAATTATTTCCTAAGCTAGATTTCCATGTATTTGCTGTACTTTATGCACAAGTTGTAAGTATATAAGCTCGCGTAACTGTAGCGCCCTAAGCGTAGTGTAAATTAGTAAAACTGTATATACTTATAATTAAAGAACGATAATGAGACACATTAAACAAAAGCCACAATTATTGGTATAAATAAAAAAACATGCATTTTTAATTGTTAATTATAGAGAAAAGTTAGAGGTTATAGTCAAGTTAAAAAAAAAAAAAACAAAAACTAATACACGGTTCGAAAGGAATTCTCCTTCATATTAGACTTAACATCATCAAGGTTTGTGTTTTTTACGCGTGACATTGGTGGTTTTTAAAAACGTTAATTTTAAAGGAATGGAAAAATTAAAATTTGTACTTTTTAAGAATATTATAATTTAATTTATACAAGTAAAATGTTTTATTCCTCCTTTTCTTTCTCTAAAAATTCTCTATCGAAGTAATATGTAATATCCTTTTCATGGAGCGGAATGATATTCGTGCAGATCAAGATTATGTTGGGTCGGAGAATGCTTAGAGATGTTATAGACTTTTTAGTCTGCTTGCCTACTTAATCGGTGGTATGGCCGTAGGTTTGTTGTTGTTGTTTTGCCAAAGCACAAAAATATGCAACAAAAATATGTTGCTGAGAATCCTAAACGATATGGATTAAAGGTTTATTTATTTATTTATTTATTTATTTATTTATTTATTTATTTATTTATTTATTTATTTATTTATTTATTTATTTATTTATTTATTTCGCCAACGGACAAATCCTTACATGGCTACATAATAACAACTTACACCTAATAAATAAAACTACAAAATTAACAAAAACTTAATAAATGCCGTATTACCTTGCGTTTTAACACACCCTTATCTGAGCCCCACTCAATTCGGAGGCTAGGCGGCAAAGAATTAAAATAAGAAAGAGCCCGCTCTATCGGCTCATTTAAAAGATAATTGGCCCTATGACACTTGACCCGAAAGGGGGTAAAGGTACGAAGATCCCTTTGAGGAACATTAAAATTAACGAGTCCCAACAAAAAAGGACAATCAATGTTATCAACAATTAAATTATTTAAAAAAGTTAACGCTGCCAGTTTACGCCGATCCTCCAACGTGCAAACGTTCAAAAGAAGGCAACGGCTCTGGTATGAAGGAACAGGATCCTGAAACCTTAGAGGCAGAAGTGCAAATTTTAAAAATTTTTTCTGGAGTCGCTCAATTCGGTTGGAACGAACTTTACACTCCGGATTCCAAATGATTGAGGCGTATTCCAGCCTCGACCGAATGAATGCAGCATAGACGCTGAGGCTCGAGTATGGACTTTTGAACTGGTTCACGTGCCTCTTAACAAAGCCCAGCATAGCATACGCTTTAGGTAAAATGTAGTCTAAGTGACCCGAAAATTTAAATTTGCTGTCGAATAAGACACCAAGGTCTAACACCTCTTCTTTAGCTGCCAAATTATAATTATTGATGGAATAACCCGTACAGATTTCAAGAGACCGCCTACTGTAACGGGTAAACATACACTTAGATAAGTTTAATGGAAGAAGATTGCGGCAGCACCATGAGTAAACTCTGGATATATCCTCCTGTAACAAGTAACTGTCACTAATGCAGCTAATCTCTTTATAGATTTTAAGGTCATCCGCATGCATTAAAAAGTGCGAATGACGAAAGCATGACGAGATGTCATTAATGAAAATGATAAATAGAAGAGGTCCAAGAGAGCTGCCTTGTGGAAGACCAGAGGAGGGTACTGAAGGTTAGTAAAAGTAGTAAAAATCTAAAGGTTAGTTAAATCGTGGGTGGAAGGGATGAGTACCGGGTATAATATAGTCGGGAAACTCGACTATAGCCGTCCGTTCTTGTTTTTTTAGTATATTTTTTTTTAAATAAAAACATATTAAGGTCAAGTAATTATTTTTATTTTTTTTTTATTTTAGTGAAGTTAGAAGTTTAAAAAATTTTTTTTTTTCTCTCAAACAACTAAATTTTTAATAAGTGATTATCGTTGAACCGTGAAGTACTTTTTATTCGTACTTTTTATTCATTCATGCACCTATACCTCGCCAATTACCAAGTAATTGGTTTTCTGGATGTTTCGGGGGCTTGACCCCATCATTTCAAGCTTTTTTTAAGTGATCAATTGCGGCATCGACTGCGATATCGACTACTTTTCCAATTGCATAGCCTACAACAATTGCCAAAATAGGGAAGGCTCTTGGCTTAATAGGAGTTTTCATTTGGGAGCGTATCCTCGACGCAAGGTCCTTTAAATGTGTTCTAGTAGCATCCGAGCGATTTTCCACGGCAACTAGCCTGCAATCTTCGACAGGCTCGGATTCTTTGCAAAGATTCGGGAAGCGACCATCGACTCCTTCGGAGCAATATTCTCCAGACAAACCTTTAAACACATAAAGGGGCTCGTCAGCTTTTGGAGAGCAGCTATAAAGGCAAGTCATCCATTGGTGAGTCCAGCCATCCTTTTGGGACATGGCTACGGCGCAACCCACGTGGCTGCTGGCACCCACCATCATTCTCCGGAAGTGACTCACCTCTCCGCTAAAAACAACACAGAAATTCATAGAATATCAATTAATATTTTTCATTAATACTCACTCAGTGTTTTTAGAGGATCCACCAACCACATTCAGCACACTCGCGTGTTTGTTCTGTTCGTACCAAGTGTACATTTGCGACTTTACAACCATGAAGGCATTCTGAGCCTTTTTAAACTTGTTGTAAACTGATTGAAAGCCGGGGTTTTCATATTCAGAAGTGGAGAAACACTCCTTAGGGGCATGAAGGGTACAGCGTTTAACCAAATGGCTGGCTACTTCCTCTAAGTCATGGTCCCACCTCAGCTTAAGCATGGCTCCGGATCCGGGAATTCGGTTCACCATTCCGGAAGCTACCAAGTTTCGGAAAATATTGTGCTGATTAACAATATGTGTTCTCAGTTTGGTTGACATGGGGTGGAGTCTTAGGTCCTTCCCGCAACTGGACGGTTGTATCTGCAAGAAAGCTAATAATGATTTTATTTTGAATCATTATTTTGAAACTTACTTGCGTACTGTTGCAGCCAATGTGCGGCAATGTCAAATTCGCTGGACAGTCCTTTACCCTGCAAAATCGGTTTGGATCAGCATTGTGATCAGAATAGTTTCCATGGAACGAGGCTCCCAGGGAAGCAAAACCAAACACAATTACTGCTCCCATGAAAATACATCTTTCGGGTTCCATGTTTCTTTCAACACTAAATTCCTCAATCTTCAAAATTCATTCAATTGGTCATTCAATTGGTTTTGGTGTATGGTATGACAACTATTCAAAAATTGATTAAACGCTCCTACCTGCTAATCAATATAGAAATAAGTCACAATAATTATTTTCCCCACGAAACGCCATAATGTTAAGATTGAAGGAAACACATAAAAATTTAAAAAAAAAAAACTATCAGATATGTGATTTGTGATAATAGATACAGTTTTAGCTTTCAGATCCGAGTCGTTCCAAACTTCAATATTAAAAATTTTAACCCATCTATGATGTATGTGGGACTTCACGCCTGGTTTATGGTAAAGTTTACAAGTGTTCTTATATGAAATACAAAAATTGAGTAACAAATACAACATTTTTGTATTGCGAATTTTCTTACCCAAGGTATATTTATTATCCTCTCCACAAAGAAGAATCTTTGTATCCACAAAGAAAAGGTAATAAAATACATCCGATTTCCATACAGATATACAATACTAATGCAATCTTATTACTATGAAAATTGAATAACCGAAAAATTAGACTTATTTTTGTGGTATATTTTTCAAAAAGTAAAAACATATATTAGTCAAGTAATACTTTTTATATTTGAGCAAACAAAAGTTAAGTTAGAATTTTAAAAATACCTTTTTATCACTATGAATTAATTCTTGCTGCTCAGTGCTACTTCATATATGTAATATGTATCATCTTAAAATTCATTTTCTTCCTACAAACAAAAGGGCCTATCTTTGAGCTTTCTTTGAGCTTCTTCTTCTTCTATCTTTCGTGAGCTGGGAATTGTAGTCCAAGGTAATGGACTTCCTTAGGTCGGGGGGAGTTCTGAATCATTTCCTTTCCCGATGTATAAATATTAGTAGCTATTTTATCGATAGCAACACCAGTAAGTGCACCAGGAGCTTCCTTGATTACAACTTTAGCCACTTTGTTACTAACATCAGAGACAACTTTAACTGCTTTCTTAGCTTGTTGAGCGATAAATTTAGGCACTTTCATAACAGCCTCCCTAACATATTCAGTTCTAGCAAGTGTGAACACCAGTTTGCCTACAGAGCTCAACCAATTTCTTGCCGCAATGGGATTCTTCATTTGGAAGCGTACCCTGACTGCAAGATCCTTTAAATGTGTTCTAGTAGCATCCGAGCGATTTTCCACGGCAACCAGCCTGCAATCTTCGACAGGCTCGGATTCTTTGCAAAGATTCGGGAACGTACCATCGACTCCTTCGGAGCAATATTCTCCAGACAAACCTTTAAACACATAAAGGGGCTCGTCAGGTTTTGGAGAGCAGCTATAAAGGCAAGTCATCCATTGGTGAGTCCAGCCATCCTTTTGGGACATGGCTACGGCGCAACCCACGTGGCTGCTGGCACCCACCATCATTCTCCGGAAGTGGCTAACCTCTCCGCTAAAAACAACACAGGAATAAATAGATTATCAATTAATATTTGTCATTAATACTCACTCAGTGTTTTTAGAGGATCCACCAACCACATTCAGCACACTCGCGTGTTTGTTCTGTTCGTACCAAGTGTACATTTGCGACTTTACAACCATGAAGGCATTCTGAGCCTTTTTAAACTTGTTGTAAACTGATTGAAAGCCGGGGTTTTCATATTCAGAAGTGGAGAAGCACTCCTTGGGGGCATGAAGGGTACAGCGTTTAACCAAATGGCTGGCTACTTCCTCTAAGTCATGGTCCCACCTCAGCTTAAGCATGGCTCCGGATCCGGGAATTCGGTTCACCATTCCGGAAGCTACCAAGTTTCGGAAAATATTGTGCTGATTAACAATATGTGTTCTAAGTTTGGTTGACATGGGGTGGAGTTTTAGGTCCTTCCCGCAACTGGACGGTTGTATCTGCAAGAAAGCTAATAATGATTTTATTTTGAATCATTATTTTGAAACTTACTTGCGTACTGTTGCAGCCAATGTGCGGCAATGTCAAATTCGGTGAACAGTTCTTTACCCTGCAAAATCGGTTTGGATCAGCATTGTGATCAGAATAGTTTCCATTGAACGAGGCTCCCAGGGAAGCAAAACCAAACACAATTACTGCTCCCATGAAAATACATCTTTCGGATTCCATATTTCTTTTAAAACTGAATTCCTCAATCTTCAGAATGCATTCAATTGGTCATAGTGTCGAGTATGACATCTGATTATAAATTAGATTTTACGCTCCAACGAAAGTTTACCAATTAAAAAATAAATAAAAAAAAAAAACAATCTTTTGTTTTGTGTATTTATACTTTGGAAAATGTTCTTTTATTCCTAACAAACGTGTATTTCATAATATAATATTATAATATATCCCCTAATTCATATTTTTTTTCGTTCAATATGGTGATCTGGGCTATCTTTGGATACTTCTGTCAATAAATTGTATTAGTTTTGGTATGATGCACTAAAATCAAGTGTGACTGCTAATTTTATAAAACATTTTTCACATTTTCCTATATATAGAAAAGAATAACATCTAATAAATACCTTCATGTTCGTTGAAGTTGATACAACATTTTTGAAAAAGGAAAATATTAAAATGTATGATAGAAGTCTTAAATAGATAATTATTATAATAGGCCTAAAATCATTTTACTTAAAGACTTTGTGTAATCAGAGTAATTTGTTTATAACGTAATCATCACAAAAATTAAAACCGGCGATCCGGCGTTCCCTTAAAATTATCCAATAAATAGGGCCCTAATCTGAAATTATTTAACGCAATATAGAAAAAAATCGAGAGACTGCATTCCAGTTGCGCTTGAATTGGAACTGCCTTTGGTTCCGCGAAGGCCGCTGTCGCGGCACCGAGTCAATACAAGTAGCGTAATCCATCGCATTGAATAGGAAAAAACCAGTAGCATTCCAAAGGGGAGCCCAAATTTTTAAGCCGACATCTGTTTTTATGGAGTAGATTATTAATTCACGGGTAGAGCGCTTTTTTGGCTCTTGTGATGGTGCATTGTCGCCTCGAACAAATGCCTTGATCGAAAGTATCAAATCCGTATTGTCAGCGCCGTTAAAACTCAATCGTCATTGGAAATTGGAACGGATTTTGGCTGTCAGCTTAAATCAATTGTGCCGCATCTTATAGTTTTAAGAGGCGAATGATTTAATTATTTTCGAAACGCGGGCAGCGAGCAGCTCCTCCATAATTTACATCTGAAAACGAAAAGAAAAATAACTTTCTTCCCAACAAATTGTTTATTCTCAGCCAGCTTAGGGAAATTCCAATGTTATGGCAGTGACCCGATATCTAATCGGTTTACAGTATTTTTAAAGCCCCCGATAAATTTGTGGGTATACATCTCTATACCTCCAATTTTATTGAGAAACTTTTGAAACTGGAAAATTCACGGCCTTTATGCTTTTCCAGCTTAGGCGTGTTTTCTATTGTTTAACTAAATTTGTTTAAACCTGCACACGCTACAGAAGAGCACATCAAAGCCCAAAAATACAATTAAAGTAGAAAAGAGCTTGTGTAGAAATTCAGAACGCGCTGTATTCTGAATTTAACAAATAATACCGTGGTGTAAATTATAGCTTTGCTTTAGTTAAAACTGAGACGTTGATAGGTTTTTGAAAACTTAGCTGAAATCCGCAATTATGCTAATTTCGGCAGACACACTTAACATAAGAACATGTGTTTCGAGCATTTAGCACATTGCCTTTTTACCTTTTGCGTACGACGAGGAATATCCAGACTGGTTTTGTTTGGAGATGAGGAGTCAGGGCTTGGACCTAGCAAGGTCCGATCTGGCAAACAAATAAAATGATAATAACATGTTATTATGCAGACAACGATCACACTGGAACACTGAAACAGTGAGACCTAAAACAATGATGGGACCGAAACAAACTGCACCAGACGGGCCAGTTTTTGGAGCTCCGCCACTTCGGTCGATAGATAGGTGAAGTGCAGCTTTCGCGAAAAAGAAATAAAACCCACATTTCCGTATTTAACCATGTGGAACTCTGAAACTCAAAAACATGTCCAGTTCTCCCAACCAAAGACACTTCATTGTCTTATTTTTTTTTTCTTCTCGAAATTAAATTTACCAACATCTTCATCATCGTTGGATCGCAAGAGAATATTTTGTTTATTTAAAGGGCCAGAGAGGAAGCGAAAATAATTGAAAATGTATCTTTTACAAAGCCCTTTTTAGCTGATGTAGTGGAGGAGGGCATGTCAACTTTTGCGGAAAGGCAATTATACTGCACTCTTTCAACAGTAATTTTGTTAATGCTGTCACAAATATTATGACACGTGGCTATATTCCAACACTTCAGCGGCCTCCCTTTGATTTAATCTTTAATTTTTTCAGAAAATTATGAGATCAAAGCATTTCCTGACATATGCATGTTCTGTTTGTATTTACCTCAGAGATATGAATGTGTACATTCCCACATGTTTAGCTTATACTAAAATATTATATATGAAAGTATGCGAAATTGTGAATAGTCCTTCCCGCTTATTATGATTATATTACCTTGAATTTTCGGTTTAAAATTAAAATATTTTAGCCTCAAGAATACAGTTAAATTTTACAATAAAATTAAGAAAAACCTTCCACCGTACCGCCTCCACAGGAGAAATGTAACTGGGATTCACTGACTAACCGAGACGATCGCCTGATCGTCTGAAACAACATGAGCTCTTGTTTACCTCCATGTGGGTGGAGTGCCTCGTGTGGTTGGTAGTGCGATGGTGCTAGTGACTCAAGGTGTAGCTGGTGGTGGCTAGCAAGGAGCCGTTCCGAGCCGTTCATTCAACGACTGCCACATTTCAATGGCAACCGAGATCGCTGTCGCAGATACCACAATTCGGATGTACCTTATTGCATGTCGTGATTGCGTCAGCTTGTCTTCACTGTACCCAGACTCTGGAGCTAATCCCTGAATCCCTGGCTCTCTGGTTCCCTGAATCCCTGGCACCGGCCAATCCGAAAAATAAAGCGGCCACCAATCATTGTTGTGTTCAGAGCTCGGTCAATTGTTCAAATTGAAAAGTTGTAAATTATCGAGCACCACCATCAAAATCGAATCATTCCAATTAAATTTGAATTGAAGGGAAAGCGAAGAGAAGTATCCTTCGGATTGGATGGTGACCCTTTGAGGTTAACGCCTCTTTTCCCGGTTGATGAAGAAGGGCTATTCAAAAAGTTTTTTAAAATGTTTTCGGCTTTCAGTTTTCCCCAAACGAACACCAATTTTGAGTTAAAAGATAGCTTTGATAATACAGAAATCCGAACATATGTTCATAAGCACATCGCTTTGGCCAATAAGCAAAACGTTCCTTTTTCTTTTGTTAATTGAAAAACGACTCTTCGGGCCAACAAATTTGATTAGGCCATGTTCGAATAAACACTTTCAAGCACACGGACGTGATAGTTGGGATAGCAAATTGTTTTACGCTCCAATAAGTGGTACATGCTGCTACAAGTTTCTGGTGGGGATTGGTGGTATCCGGGATAGGGGAACCGGAATCGGGATCGGGAAGTTGATTGTGGATTTGAGATGTTGTCAGCGTGATCGCGCCACATGAACACGTTGATGTGGATGATCTTAATCAGTATCACAGAAGGCATCGCTATCCTCCGGCCAGGGCTAAGTGGATGCTTACCCAAATCATCGCATTGTCGTTGTCGGATCGTCGGGGGAAAGTGGGGAAATCCAAGGGATCCAAACGATCCATAGAGGTGTGCGTCAGATGCTTAATTTAAATTACCCATGGGGCGGGACGAAGTTTTCGAGGAGCTGAACAGCAAACACCAAACAGCTCACAGCTCACAACAGCTCCATCTCACAGCTCACAGCATGAGTAGCTGCGATTTGACACCTCGACTGACAGCTGGAATTGGGGAAAATTATTGGGCGCAGTGGAACACAAGGGGCGCCCATTAGATGACTCGGCCGTAAAAACAGTCCCTGTGCTGCTAAAGACCTGTGTCGAGGCACAGTTGGATGTTGAATGTTGAACGTTGGATGAACAGGAGGCGAAGGAAGCAGGAGACGGAGAACCCGCAGACCACTAATTTATTCCACATAAATTAGTCGTATAATTAAAATGTTTATACAAGCTCCAAACTATACACACATATACTGCTTGAAACACTTCACTTAGGGCAATCGAGACGTTGCAAGGGACACCGTAACGATTCCACAAAGAGATAATCAAATATTTTGTAACTCAATCCGATATTTATTTTCCAATGCTGAAATAAACCAGCTCAATTGCTTGAAATTTAAGCTTTTTAATTATTATTATGCGAGCACTCAGACATTTCAGTTTATAAATATCTCTTCTGGGTTTTTATTCTGTTCTGCTCTGATCTGGTCTGGACCATCAATATATTTATGTATATAAAAACATTAATAATTTGAGAATCATGTCTTTTGTCGCCAAAACATTTACCGCAACGAAATGAACATAAAGCTGTCATATATTTGATGACTTTATATTTATGAAGGCCAAAAATGTTCGATCGCCAAAAGAGAAAAACCAGTTGTTTTTACGATTTCGAATTATGATGAATTCATATTGCCTGGTATCTGGTATCCGTACCGAAAGGAGTAGTCCCGCCGTCGTCCCACAAAATATGAACGTCTTCGATTCTGTCGGACTGTCGGGAACACACAGGCCGTACGTGCTTTACATTTGAAATGATGTCAAGTCAGCCGCACTAATTGATCGCTTTCGAGCGTGGAATCCTCGCTAAAAGGCCTCTCTGAAGTCTGCAAAGACTGTCTTCCGATCCCTGATGTTTGGTTGATTTTGATGTTTGGACCTGTGCCCATGTCCCTTGTCAAAGAACTAGATTACTGCGTCCGCCTGTCCATCCCAAGAAACATCCAAAAACCATTGCGGCGACGTTTGTCCGCCGATGCAGTTCACGAAATTGCACATCACCAACCTGTCCAGGAGTAATTTCTGTCCACTCCAGACCCGGCGAGGTCCTCTTCACATAACCCGATACTGTTCCCATTCACTCAAGATTTATTAATTTATGTTACGCTCCGTCTCCCTGATGCCCCCTCATAACTCCAATAATAACAATGTCTCCTTGGCGGACGCGGCA